ACTGCTTCCTGTAAGGTATGTTCTGAAGTAAAACCAAGATTCTTCAAACATGATGGAAAATTAATAAAAGCAACATCACCGTTTGAACGTCTTAGCCTGGATTTTAAGGGTCCTCTTCCCTCTTCTACAAGAAATCGGTATATGCTAACAATCATTGATGAGTACTCACGATTTCCATTTGCGTACCCCTGTCCTGATATGTCCTCTTCGACTGTTATTTGCAAACTGAAACAGTTATTTTCATTGTTCGGTACTCCTAGCTACATTCACTCCGATCAGGGATCTTCTTTTCTTTCAAAAGAACTAAAGGAGTTTCTCGCTTTAAACGACATTGCTTCTAGTCGGACTACTGCTTACAACCCTCAGTGTAATGGCCAGGTTGAGAGATATAATGGTATAATCTGGAAAACAGTAGAACTTGCCCTTAAGAACTATCAACTTGACGTGACAAAGTGGGAATTAGTTTTGGATGAAGCTCTTCACTCTATCCGATCCTTGCTTTGTACTGCCACGAATTGTACGCCACATGAACGAATGTTTGGACATCCCAGAAGATCACAAAATGGTGTTCCACACCAACCTGGTTGATGACTCCTGGAAAAGTGTTGATGGGACGTCCTATCAGAAACTCTAAGTATGAACCAATAGTGCAGGATGTGACATTGCTGGAAGGAAACTCTGACTACGCTCATGTACGATTGCCAGATGGGCGTTAGACAACAGTGTCTACACGCAACTTAGCTCCTTGTGGAAAACAAGCTGAGAGAACAGATTTTGATGATGAATCAACACCGGAGAACCACACAATGGAACTTAATAGCGATGTAAACTTAGTAGACGAGACCCAGGATGTGTCTCATCCCGATGCAGAGGTGATAGAAGAATCTGCAACTCAAGAGCCTCTACAAACCTTAAGGACTGATGAAACACAATCACAGAGACGAAGCTCAAGACAGAAGAAACTACCTTCTCACCTTAAAGACTTTAAATTATATTAGCGGGGAAGAATGTGATAGAAAATATTCCCAGCTGTTGTTGGACATTGTTATTTTATTTGTTTATGTTGAATGTTTGTAATCATTATTTCATTCTCTAGATTTAACTCTTACTTATGAATTCCATTACTTGAATTGTGTTAAATAAAGCCTACTCATTCAAGGCAAACAATCTTTATTCTTCAACAGTAACGCATGCATTAAAACGGCTTTTTTGCTGCAGTATGACGACAAATTAGTTCAAAAATACTCGAATTCATTTATAAACAAAATTAAAGTAAGGTATTAGTTAATAGCTTATGAACTTTGCTTTCAACTTCTAATAAACCTTTGCTGAATGTAATAAGACTTAATAAATTAAGGCCACAGTTTGGTATTTTTTTTTTAAATCTCGTTAAAAACTTTTGTTAAATATATAAATTTTTAAATCTGTTGCTACGTAAGTCAACATCACGTCAGTGACCTATAGAACTTGCTAATCATAAGTTAGAACGTGGACTCAAGTTGACTTGCCTTGGTCATGAATGGAGTTTACAGACTAAATTATTGGTTCGGTTAAAGTTTACAACTAACTACCATCGATCAAATTTGTTCCTTAGTTCACCACTCAAGACCTTTGTTTTGCCTATTAGTATTCCCGAAGAAAACGTGTAAAAAAATTAATACATTTATTTTGCATCCATGTGTTGAAATCCCGGGAATTCTTTAATGGACACGCCTACATTGTTTACAATAAACTCATTTTCAGCATCACAGATGTAACATAAAAATACCCCCGCCGCAGCAAACCTGCAGACTAAGCGAATTTCCATTTGACTGATTTGATTTACACTGCAATGTCTACTTACAAATATAACATTTATTCCCGATTTAAATAGAATTAGTTTAACAAGTACTTAGGTTTGCTGCATCAGGGAGGGTAAAACTGTTTTTTTTGTAAAATGTTAATAGTTAGTAAGAAATTAAAACATTTTCCAAATATGTTCATAAACAAGCAAACTACAACAGTTTACTTATTCTCCATAAGAATAGCATGGGAATTTTAAATTTACAATTTTTTGGAATTTTCTCCGTAACCATTAGGCGCATAATGACGCTTCAATATACTAAATTATTTGTTTTTTTAAGCTCTACAAAATGGTTTGGAAAGAAATTGCTAAATTTTATGTTTTTTGGGAAAAAAATGGGAAAAACCTATTTTTACCCCATAAAACCCCCCGTAAACCCCCATTCCCATGGTCCGATCATGCTGGATCGCGAACTCGTCCGAATAAACGTAGGTTTACACGTTTATACCAAATTTCATCAAAATCGGATCATTTTTGCTCGAGTTATCGTGCTAACGGACACACACACATATATATATATATATATATATTTATATATATATGTGTCCGTTAGCACGATAACTCGAGCAAAAATTATCCGATTTTGATGAAATTTGGTATAAACGTGTAAACCTACGTTTATTCGGACGAGTTCGACAAACTCATATATATATATATATATATAATAAACACACATATATATATAAATAAATATATATATATATATATATGAATTTGAACGGATGGTGTTTTTGGCCTCTAGGGACCTCAAAACGAAAAAAATCGGTCCCACGTCCAGGTCTTACCATGAGTACTACGGTAATAGCTTATTCCCTATATGGGAAATTCGCTAAAATCACTCCGGGAAAATGTGTTTTCCTAGGAGATTCCAACATTTTGGTTACGTAATCCTACAGATTTGACATATTTATACATAGTATTGTGGTAAATATCTTACATTTCATTTATTTCCGTAGCGATCAGCTTTAGCAAATATTTTGAGTATCGACCGAACTACTTTAAGTCCCACCATAGTCTTAACTACTGTTTAGTATATTTTGTGACTAAAATATATAGCTTTTTATGAAACTCGGGATAGTGCTGCTGTGAAATCTTCTTGTTTCTTGTTGATGATTACGACGTGTATCATAAGGGAACATAGAAACATGTATTTATGCTGTACAATCTTGAGACGGAAATGTAAATAAATGTGTACACGTAATGTTTCTTAAAATATTCCAAGTTCTTCTTACTCTCACGTGATTGTGGCGTTCACTCTACACAAACGAATGATTTATGCATTCTTTAATTGATGCCAACATGATGTTAGAAGCATTTCTTCTAATCTTGATTTGATGCATGACGTTTTAATGATATCAGAAACAAGTTTCATATTTCTCATAAGCTGACAGTAATAACTTCCACATGTCACAGATATACTGCAATTCTTGGTTTTTTAGTAATTTGGCCGTTGATTTCTTAGTCCACTATCGCATCACTATTGTAAAACCACAGAACAAATATTGCATAAAATATTTTTATTACGTTGGGCTATAACGAAAAATAATTTTTAACAAACTAAAAGGAACGTTGATAAAAAAATTCATGAAATATTTCTCCATCAAAGGCATATTTTCTCTTAGGTTTAAAATTGCCCTATAACATAACGCATGGTAAATAATCATGCATTAATTTTCAAGAGAAAGTAACTGTGAGCTTAAATTATCCCTTCTATCTCTCGGGATGCAATAAACTGCAATTATGATGGAGGACGTTTTATATAACTGTGGTAAAAATGAGTCCCAGGGGATTTGCGTAAGTTGTATTTTAAAAGGAAACACAGTCATAACACTGGTTAAATATTACCACAGCTCATTATAAATATAAGTTTTATTTTGAAAATTCAATAGCTTTATGATCAAGTGGATTGAATCAAACAACTACAACAACAATCTAAGCTAAATATGTTCTAACAATCTCTTCTATGTTTTGAGTGTGCTCAATATTACAAGTTAGTTATTCTAACATTTGTTTGACGTTAAGTAGAATGGCCAAAAATTCGAACGAAAATTTATCTTCTGAAAGCTATACGACTAGTATTGGCAAATAGTTTCAAGTCCCAACCTTAACTAAAAGTCGTATTCCCTGGCTGCAAGGTGAATCGTTAAAATTGGTCATGCTACTTGAGATTCGAGCTGATTTCAACTTGACTTAAAGGAGATTTTCATGATTACTGCTATGGATGTAATTTATTTCTCGGAAGTTTTAACAAACTAACTATGAAAATTCTACTCAGTGTTAATTAGTTTTTATAAACGAGAGGCTAATTTCTCCCACAGATAACCTATAAATTACTGTTTTGTTACACTGCCGTTTTATTACATCTTGTAGTTAAATGGCATATACGCCTTTATAATGACAATATGTGTCGAACTGCAAAATTCAATTCAATTTAGTCTTTTCTCAAGATAAACATTTTATTCACTTAATCCGCCCTCATCATCCTCACGTGTTGAACGTGGCAGACGAGTTTTACAATAACTTATTTGTACTCAAGTATTGCATTTTTTTTATAGTTTCGATGATTGTAGTTTTATATCCCTTTTCAATCATTTGTGATGTTAAAGACCACATTACACATATTAATTAGGGGTTGAATTGAAAAAATATTTAAATTTATCAGTAGACTTAACAGTCCCTAACTATAATAATGTTATCAGGTTTTTTATTTTGGTATTTTATTAGTACAGTTCACCTTTGTACTGTACCGGCTCACCCCTTGCTTTGCTGGATACGTTCCACGCACGGGCAGTAAGTCTATGTGGACGGGCAAATGCAAAGCTAAAAGAGCCAGCCAACCTCTTAAAAATATCAGATTTAGTGTGCGAATCTACCTTTAACCCTTTAAAAAATCACATTTAAGAACTGAAATAGTTACATCATATTTTACATTTTCCACCACTCCATAATATAAAAACATCCCTTTTATAAATTTATAATCCCTTTTCTTCCCGAATGCCACTCTCAACAATTTGTATGTGAAGAAAGTAGCTAAAAAAACATACCGACTTTGAAATTCTTTTAAAACAGATACATAAAACGCTTTGTAGCTGTTAAGTTTTTAATAAAAAGGTTTTTTAAACAGTACTTTCTTAACGTTGTATTTTATAATTTACAGATACATTTACTGGAGCCCAGGTGAAGGATTAAAACCGTGTAAATTTGGTAAGTTGAAAGTATATCTTACTCAAATCTTCCTTTATTAATTAACTAGCTGGCCCGACAGACGTCGTCCTGTCCTAATGTGGTTTTATGTCAAACACTCGTTCATTTTCAAGATGAGCTCGTTCGCACGGCTCAATCACGTCCTGGTTGAAGTTCGTTCGCTACGCTCACTCACCTTCAGGTTGGAGCTCGTTTGCTGCGCTCACTTGCCTTCAGGATAGCTCGTTCGCTACGCTAACTCGCCTCCAGGTTTAAGTTCGTTCGCTACGCTCACTCACCTTTTGGTTGCAAATTAGCTGTTGTCATAAATTAAAAAAATAATAGCGCTGCACCCTGTTGGAAAACCTATTAACTTTTTAATGCTATTGAACATCACAGAATCAAATTGTTTATTTGAACCAGCTGTTAAATTCTTTAATTCCATTTAAATATGAGTACTCATAAGGTTAACATGGGAAACTCCAGAGCCACTGGGGCGGAGCCTTTTTGACGAATCTGCACCAAACTTCACACAAACCATCCTTGAATAATGCAATAATGCCTGAAAGTTTCATTACAATCTGTAGAGCGGTTTCGGAGCCCATAAAGGACAAACAAACAAACAAACATACATTGGATTTTAGTAGCTGTAAGAATCGTTAAAGCTTATAGCAGTAAGACTTAAGTAAAACAATTTTTCATAAATTCCTATTTATTTGCATAAACCAACGAAAAGTAAAATCACCATTCCGAATGCAGTAATACACAATAAAATTAACAAAACAAGACAGCCAATCATGTTAACATATTTTTACTATTTGAATTTTTAAATATACATTAATTTTCTGCTTTTAAGGGTATAATAAGGTCTCGACTAATCCATGTTTAATACAGTTTATTTTGGTGTATTAAGTAACATGTTCAAAGGCTGAGTATGTAACTTAATTAGAGAGTACACATCTCGTGTAAAGTTCTATAATATTAAGTTCCAAAGGAAGTTTATAAAGCACTTTTAACTTAGCTCGGAAATCCCAACCCGCATTGCTGTAGTTAAGCAGACGAAGCGAAGTAATATATTGAGGAATGAGAATAGTTAAACACTGTGCTAAGATGATTGGTTACTTTTTTATTTTTAAATTTCCTACTAATGTTCACATAGATTACGTCATGTTAGGAACAGTAGTCCTACTAAGCTTATTAATTGCTAATTGTTAATTGAACATTTACAATTATATTCCCTAAACTGAAACTACATATATATATAAAAATTAATAATATTTACCATTTGTTAGATTCTTTAAAGAAATGGTTTGAATCATAAAAGTATCAATCAGGTTGTTGATATGACCTTTGAAGGGAAACTAATTACATACAGGTATGCATTAAAAAAATATGGAGGAAAAAATCAAGTACTTTAATCAGGCTTGATGCTATAAGTTCTTCAAAATATTGTTTCCAGAATAATCAAAAGTTTAAACATTATAAAAATCTGCAAATCTCATCGCAAAGGTTCAGCCTAAATATGTACTAGTTAATAAGATGCAGCATTTAGAGGAATGAGAGTTTACAAGATAAATTTATACGAAACGTGTGACTTGATAGTACGAGAATTTCCAGTCGAACCAAAGATTTATAGTTTGGCACGAAGATAGACCTAATGTTCAAACAAATGCAAAATAATTTAATTTTTTTACTGTTTGTCATCCTTCACTGTGTAGGAGAGTTGACAGAAAAATATTGTAGGCCTATTTGTTTATATGTATTAACAGATCTGAATATTAAGGACACTTTTTCATAATAAGACACTTTTGTGATGTTCAAACAAAAGAAATGTCAATTATATGCTCAAAGTGGGACATCATTAACTATTCCTATCAACCTTGGTACCTTGATTCGACGTTCCCATTCGGAATCGCTGATGATAGTTTTCAAGGGTCCCAATTGGGTCACATACACAAACTAGTAAAAACTTGTAACACTTCTATTTTATAGAAATATTTTCGCTAATTCAATTTAAATTCCTTTTTAGGAATAAATGGGAATTACAAATATGTCTATAACATAATAAACCAACTTTGTATGGACATTTTTATGGATTAAATGCCATAAAAAATTAAAAATTAAATAATTGTACTACAAATTTTGATTAAAGAGATTCCAGCGATGTGACAGATAATTTATTCTTATTATTTATATAAAAATTAAAAAAAATCATTCGATTATCTTTTTTTATTACAAAAAACTATTAGGTGGAGAGATTTGTATAGCAATTTAGATCGAATGTCGATTAAATATCATTTAAATTTCAAATTATATTTGTATTGTCAGTTTAATAAGCACACCTCGTGCCACCAACTAGTATTTCCACAAAATCAATATCATATGTTATTGTTCTAGGAAGATTCAATGCAATACAATAATCCTAAATCAGAGTTCCAATACATTGTTGGCTAAGCAATATACTCGCTAAACTCTGTCATATACAATCTATAGCAACAATATTGGCATGTAGCTTTGAAAGTCAGATGAACTGCTTTTTACATCGTCACAATTATTGCTGTTTTATTGTAAAATTATCGGATTTAAAACGCATATCGTATAGGCCTATGATGGAATAAAACATATTTGGCCACGCAACATTTGTTTACAAGATGATATTTCACATTAAAACTGCAAGAAAATATTTTGTCTTTATACGTGTAAACTAGCTGTTCTGAATTGTACACAGTTTTAACTGACTACTCAATTCCCGTACGTGGGACGGGCTAGCATCTCGATATAGTTAATTTGAAATAAAAGATATAAAGAAAACGTGCTTTAGAGAAATAGGTTTTGAACCGTGCCCTCGTGCCTGCACCCAGACTAACGAAATGGAAGCGTGATCCATGCGCAGGCCCGAGGAGCGGCTCACAAAACTTTGCTTAACAAAATGAGAACCATGGATGGAGGCTCAAGAACAACACGCCATTTGAGAGAAACGAGCTGTAATTAATCATTTAAATGAACACAACAACAAAAATCAACAACAATACATGAATTAAATACTCTCAATTAAACTTTAAATAAATTTAGATACCACTCTGACCTACTAACTTACAAACATTAATTTAGAAAAATTCAAAATAGGCTAATTTCAGTCAAAGTAAATTTAATCAGTTTTAACCTTAAAAAAATAAAATTTGTAAAATGGCAACAATGGATATATAAAATCTCTTCCTTTAAATAACTGGTAACAATTTAACATTTAGGGGCCCCAAGAATTGAATTTATAGTAAAAAGTAATAAAATTTAAAATATCAACAAATAGGCTAAATGAATTTAAAATTTAAAAGGAATAACAATAAATAGGCTTTAAATCTTGATATAAAAATCTAAAAATTAATCAACAATAAATGACACTAAATAACAACAGTAGTAACTTGCGGTAACTAGGCGGTAACTGTCTAGGGCATCTCAGTCACTAGGTGGAGGGGCGATGAAACTGGGCAGAGAGGGGGCATCCCAAAGTCCAAAAGATTGGCCCCAAGTAGGAAAAGCTTCTCTGCTACCAGTTGAAGGTCCATCTCCTAGGCGAGCAGCACGGGAGGGGAAAACGAGCAGAACGGAGAGGTAGGCCATAATCCCAGAGACAGCAAGGCGAAACAAACTTCCTCTCCGCCAAAATAGCTCGGGTCTGCTTCATGTCCTCCTCACGGGCCCTGAGTGACAAAACCCAGGAAACAGTAGTATGAATAATAGACTGAGTCCATATCCGCAAGGTTCACTGTCACATTTTTCACCATTTACACATAGTTCCAATATTTCACTGAGTTCCAAAATTTCACTAATTAGGCCTAACATTGCTTATTTCAAAAGTTTCTAAATTTTTAAAAGGTTTGTCTCTCCATCACAGCTCTTTAACAATATAAAACATTTTAAACAGTAACAATAATTTAAACAAAACAACTAACAGGTTAAACAGTACAAGATCGGTAACATTAAATTTGCGGTAAAAGTGTCAGCAGGCCAGACGGGTATGTGACAGTGGTAAATTTCACCAATAGAGAGAAAAAATGTAAATTGCCTGGTCCAAAGTGGCCAGGAGAACAAGTTAACAGAGAACAAATGACACTTAAACACAGAAAAATACTTTAAAATTGACAAAAAACGTTTCATACAAAAAATTTAGGCCTAACGCTACAACTCATGTATTCTTGCTAATTTCTCCTAAAGTTGTGATCCGAATTTGTTCGGAATGGTCTTAAAAGCTGGGGGAAATGTTCCAGCAGCTTTTCCAGACCATTCCAAACCTTAACTCAAAGGCAGGAACCAGTGGCCTTCCAGGTTACCCAGTTCAAACCTGAATGGAGAGTTGCCAAACTAAAAATTACTGTAACTTTCTTAAAACTTGATTAAAATGACTCAAACTTTCTGGGGAGCTTTAAGAGCAGTAAATTCAACTTAATTTAACTAGTTTGGCAAGAACAAAGCAAAATAAAAGGACTTTAACAATACTTGACTGGGTAACACAGAACAAAAGACTACCAAAGGTAGTAGCCTAAGACATTTACATTTAATGAGCAAAATTGTAGGCCTAGGCCTACCACAAACAGTCAAAAGGACAAAAACTGACTTGGCAGTTTCTCTCAAATAACGGCCCTCCAACAAACATTTCTCAGTCAATTCTAGGCCTAGCATTTCGGGCAAAGCCCTGAATTATACAAAACAACAGGGAAAAGGGAAACTAACTATCAAAAGGGTTCCACGACCCCAAGACTAGGTTCCAGACCTAGTGCAACATGTGGCAATCCTAACCTTAGAAAAATGTGCAAAACTTACCCATCAAGGTGCCGGTGGCACGAATAGTTTACTCCATTGCGTAGCAGAACAAAAGGATAGAACAAACAACTAAACTGCTTTGCAAAAGGTAAAGCATAGGGACAGATGTAAAAGAATACTTTGTTCTGAAAATCATCTGCGAGGCAAACGGCTCTGACGTCGCTGAACCTATGAGTTGCTGGCGGAAAGAGTAAAAAGAACAA